CAGAAACATTCATCTTTAAAATAATAATTGAACAGAAACATTCATCTATAAAATAATAATTGAACAGAAACATTCATCTTTAAAATAATAATTGAACAGAAACATTCATCTTTAAAATAATAATTGAACAGAAACATTCATGTATAAAATAATAATTGATCAGAAACATTCATGTATAAAATAATAATTAACATTATTTATCTGAGGAGCAGCTTTGAGTTTAACTCATCACTGAACTCTCATGTTGAACAAGCATGAAGGCGACAGTGGAAAGAAAAACTCCCTCATGAGGAAGAAACCTTTAGCAGAACCAGGATCAGGACAAGAGGACCATCTGCTTCGACCGGCTGGGTTTGGTAGGAATAGATACACAATGGCAGGTCAAGAATCACATGTTCAGATAGAAATAGTATGAAATGCAGACGTGTCCCTGGTTTTAGTTTTCTACACCGCCTTATAATCATGTTTTTTTCCTCTTGCTACTTTTTCTTCTGACTGTTCTTTTGGTTGCTATTTTGTTTCGATTTGTAAAAAATAAAATAAAATAAAAAATACACTAAAATAAAATCTGTGTGCCTCTTTTATGATCGTCATTGGTCTTTTTAGATCAGGTCTCTCTGTAAATGAGTCCCCGAGGCTCAATGGGACTAGCTGTGTAAATAAAACTATTCCATTTTAACAATTCATTTCAGGAAATGAGGTCAGTTTGTCCTCTAGTGGTCCAAGTCTATAGCAGCATGACAAGCCGACCCTAACTATAGGATTGATTAAAAAGGAAAGTGTTAAAACTGGACGGCACAAAGTTTGTACTGGAGCAATGAAAGGCTGTAAAAACGTGTGATGAAGAAGAAACGAGGAGGAGCATGGAGTTAACTGGTCAGCACGACTTACAGAACATGTTGGAGAGGCTGAATCTCTCAGAAGTACAGATGAGCTCAGTGTGTGCAACAAACTGCATCTTCAAACAGCTGGAACAGGTTCAGTTCCAGCTGTTTGAAGACTGCCAAGACTTTGAATATCCCATCATCAAAAGATTTCAATAATGTGGAGAAACCTCTGAGCTTCACGTTTGAGAATGGGTGGCCGTCGTCTTCACATAAACACTGCTCAGAGACTATCCTCCATTCAACTAGAACGGCAGGTGAACGTGCACGTTAGGCTGATACAGCGATGCTGTGCAGACGTCGGTGAACAAATGTTAACACTTGGTGTTGGTTTCACGTCTACACTGTGGTTTTCCCAGCACCCACCTGTTGGACGCCTTCTTCCCAGAGCCCTCCACGTCATGTTTGCGGCAGAGCATGCCCTCCTGTATTATCTGGGATGGCAGGGGCGCCGTGGGCATGGTGGCCGCCCTCTCAGCCTCCTCTGGAATAACAGAGACCGGGGGGTCCAGCTCCAGAGAGACACTTGCCCTCATTTCTGAATCAATGGGCACCGTGGGTTCCCCAGCAGCTCCTTCCAGCTGACTCAGACTTGGCTCCACCGCTCCAGACTGGAGACAAACAGACACATGACGTCATCAGCAGCTACATCTGCACCTTTAAACACAAGAGCTCCAAGAGTTCATCACAACGAAGCAAAGAAAATGAATTTAGAGTGAAAGAAATAAACATCCAGCACATGGAAACAGTTCCTGACCAGAGTGTGCTCCTCCGTGGTGCACAGCTGTGAAGACTCTTCTACGAAGCCCGTGTCTTCTCTCCTGAAAGACACGTTTATTGTCAAAGATCAAAAGTACTGAAGAGGATCTTTTAAACTTTCTACTTTACTGTCTCACTGCCTTCAACTCCACACTGATGGGTTTGGTTTGCTATGGGACTTACTTGAAGAAGCTACGAGCTCGTATGTTTGTGTACCTGCTGTCTTTCTCTGAGCGTTCATCTTTCATAAACTGCTCCATCTCCTGCTGCTGCTTCCTCAACGCCAACAGCTCAAGCTGCAACACAAACGTGACCTGAGCTCAGCCAACAACTTTATCAACAAAACTTTCATCCATCGACTGTACAAGGTGAAAGATCTTCTTTCGTACGGTGGTGAGGCGCTCCAGCGCAGAGAATCGTTCCTCCCAGGTGGCTGTGGACTTCTCGAAGGCTTCGTGCCTCTTGAGGAGCTTCTCGACCTCGTCCACGGTGTGACCCAGGTCCTTACTGGCCACGTACGGCTCCTGAGCAACGAGCCAGGCCTCGGCAACAGAAGCATCTCGTGCAAACTGACACACCTCCAGCACTGGGCACAATGAAGGGAGCGTACGAGAATTTATTGAAATATATTCGTCAACCTGATCCAGGTCATCGAAGGAAAGACAAAATGTCAGATATTAAGATAAAGTACGGTCCGTGAGTATCTGAGGGTAATCTCCAACACATACTCTGGGTCCAGCCATCATCTTTCACCCGCTTCTTCCATTTTGGGTCGCCAGTGCCCATGTCCAGCAAGCACTGTGCGAGGGGCGGGGGACACCCTGGACAGGTCTCCAGTCCATCACAGGGACATAGAGACAAACGAGACAAACAACCACTCGCGCTCTCTCTCACACTTACAGACAATTTAGAGTTATCAATCAGCCTAACATATACATATATATATATATATATACACAATAACCCAACATATAATATATATATATATATATTATATTATATATATAATATATATATGGTAAAAGGACTGTACTTATATAGTGCCTTAATATCTTATTTCAAGATACTCAAAGCTCTTTACAACAATCTGTGTCCTCATGTGCCCATTCATACAGCTCTATACTAGATCTCTACAAAGCTAATTGAACAAATCATTCTAAAGAGACTGATGGGACACACATCAGAGGCTATGGGGGTTCAGTGTCTTGCCCAGGGACACTTCAGCATGTGACTGCTGGTGGATTCAAACCCCCAACTCTCGCATTGGAGGACGACTGCTCTAACCACTCAGCCACAGCTGCCCCAACATATATATATATAATATATATGTTTATGTTGTCTTTATAAACCCTTTGAATGCTTTTGCAATATTTCTAAACTCTAAACGCTCTAGAAGAGCACAGCATGTCATGACCTCCGCTCTCTACCACGCCCACACTCGTCACCTGTGTCACTCCCAGTCCTCCTGCACCTGTGCGCTGCACTTCTTAAGCGCTCCCCAGTCTCTGCCAGATTGTCTGAAGTATCCAGCGTTCTTGTTCCTAAAGGCTCGGCTTGATTATTTTAAATGAACCATCCCCATGCCACTCGTGCAGCTCACTCAGGTATAAGACAGACCCGCCCCCTCCTTTCTCTTTCTCTGCTGTTACAGTCAGCCTCGGAAAGAGAAAGGAGGCGGCGGCTCTGTCTTATACCTGAGTGAGCTGCACTCAGACATTCTTTCTGCTTAAAGAGCGAGTCTGTGAAAGTCAAACCACGAAGTATCGAGGGACTACTCCATCAAAAATCCAATTTGAGTAAAGTAGTCCCTCGATACTTCGTGGTTCCACTTTCACAGACTCGCTGTATCACGGTTTGTGAACGTACAGTACATGATGTACAAAAATTGACTGTCAACTTCAGTATTACTCACACGATTGGGACAGTCCTGGATACTGTACAGTAAAAAGTTGACAATAAAATAAAATAAAAAAATCTGTATGCATTTTTATATTTGTCCATTGTTGTTGTCTTTCTTTGTTGAAACCAGGTCTCTGAGTCCAAGGCTCAGTGGGATTAACTTGTCTAAATAAAGTTTGAATGAAAAAAATACTTTGGACAGGAGCCGCCATTTTGCAGTTCTCTCTCAGTAAGCTTCCGCTGTATTCCCGCTCATAAAGACCACATTTCCCAGAAGGCAACAGAGCCCCTCCCAGAAGCTCAGTTTCCTTCTGCTGAAACACTAGAGCACTGATTCCCAATCTGGGGGGCCTGACCGACCCCCATGGGGGGGAGACAGATAGCACGGGGGGGGGTCACATAATGTGTCTGCTCAGAGGTTGTAAAAATATTCATTTATCGTCTGTGTAACTTTAGAAAATATGATTTTATTTATAATTCTAATGTTTGAAATGTCTCCAAATCCTGATCAACAGTGAAGATCCGTCATGTTGGTTTTGTTTGAAGAGTTTTCTGTAAATGTTACAAACTAAAACATGTACTGTCACTTCAGGAGCGCTTCGTTATGACGTCAGTTCTGTGAGTCCGGCTCTCGTAGTGAAGAGGTCCTGGTTAAATGTCAGGTTTTATTAAATATATCACATAAACATAAGCACATGCAGGGGTGAATGTTTAAATGTGTAAAAACACAGAGGAGTCATTGTTCCAACAACATAGAACATTGTTCCCTGCTTTAAACAGCATTCTTGTTTTTATTGGTGAAAGTTGGGAATATTTCAGAAGCAGTTGTCAGAGAGCATTTGAAAGAGCAGGAAGTGATGTGCACGGCAGGAAGTGATGTGCACGGAGCCACAGAAGCATCTTTTCACTGCTCCAGTTTAATCACCAAAAATCTGCACAATATTGGAGAAACCTTGTGAAATGCACCTGCCTGACAGAAATCAGCTGCATGACAGGATCAGGACCAGAACTTGACAAAACTACCATGTTTATTTTTAAGACTGTTCTTAAGATTCCTCTGTTAGTTTTTAAAGACAAGTTATGGGAGTAATTCTCAAAACAGCCATAACAATGGCCCTGTTCTTGTAAGACAAGCCAGTTACAAGGATGCCTGCAGCGACAGCACAACCTTATGACGTCACGTGCACCTACCTGACCATGACGTCACGTGCACCTACCTGACCATGACGTCACGTGCACCTACCTGACCTGATCAAGGCAGGAGTGTCAGAAACTGAAGTGCTGTTTGCACCAACTGCTCAGCGTCAGTGACGTGGGGAGGAGCCAAGACCAAGTCCTACAACACTTCACACCCAATTAACCATCTCAACAGGTGTTACAGAGAAAATGTCATGAATACATTTGACTTTAAATGTAATCCAAGTTGAAGTGTTGCATCATTTTCAGCGTCTGCATTTGGTAGCAGCCAAACTGACAAAGAGCTGCAGAATAAAGTGGTGTGTTACTTCCACAGCAGAGAAAGCTCTGGAGTCTCTGTAAGGAGGTCGAGGGGGAAATATTGGTATCGGCTTCATAAGTTTTAACATATCAGCCAAAAATCCAATATCATTCATCCCTAACGGACACATTGTCCAGTTTGAAGACTTTCCTTCTTCATAAATCCTATAGTTAGGGTCGGCTTGTTATGCTGCTATAGACTTGGACTACTAGAGGACAAACTGACCTCATGTCCTTAAATGAACTGTTAAAATTGAATAGTTTTCATTTGATACTATTTCTATCTTAACATGTGATTCTTGACCTGCCATTGTGTATCTATTCCTACCAAACCCAGCCGGTGGAAGCAGATGGTCCTCTTGTCCTGATCCTGGTTCTGCTAAAGGTTTCTTCCTCATGAGGGAGTTTTTCTTTCCACTGTCGCCTTCATGCTTGTTCAAGATGAGAGTTCTGTGATGGAGTTAAACTCAAAGCTGCTCCTCAGATAAATAACGTTAAATTATTATTTTATACATGAATTAATTAGGTTGTGTTCTGCGTGTGTCCTCAGAAAGTTTTTCCATGAACGGTCCATATCAGATCTTCTACAGCTGTTTGGCTGCTGTGCCACAGGACAGATTTCTACTGTAGCTCTGACGCTCGTTTACAGTTTTAAACGTTTAAAAAACTGCTCAGTATAAACTATTTTGTATACATAGGAGTTCTCATGAATAAATCGACGTGTATTTTGTGATTATTTACACAAACACTACAGGATTACACTTTAGTGTGGACAGCATGAAGTGTGTAGTTTTACTCACAAAGTCGGAGCCAGTCCCATCTGTCATCCCACTTGAACATCATTTCCTTCCTTTTCTCAATCAGCTGAACCAGTTTCTCTGTGACCTGAAACACAGTTTATACAGCTGCAGTTACAAATCAGCTAAACAAATACAAAGAGCCAAGGACAGCCTGTTACACCAAGAAAAAAAGTTGGAAAACAAAACAGCTCCATTTTTATTCTGAAGCTGAAGACGTTTCACTTCCCACCTGGGAGAAGCTTGATCTATTCTAATGTGTCAAAATGTTCCATGTTCTTAATTGATAAGACCTCCCAGACGGGAAGTGAAACATCTTCTGCTTCAGAATGAACATGTTTTATTAACCATGACCTGGATGAACGAGAATCTTCACCAGGATCTAACCCCTCCCTCTGGTTTCTCTTACTTATTTACATACTTTGACTTTTTCCACATCCACCTCTTCCAGCACTTCTGGAGGACTCCAAAGCGTTCCCAAGTCAGTTCAGAGAGACGGCTCTCCAGGGTGTCCTGGCTCTTGGACAAGGTCTCCACCCATGTGGACGTGTCCAGGGAGCATCCTTACCAGACGCCCAAACCACCTCAACTGACTCCTCCTGATGTGGAGGAGCAGCGACTCTACTCCGAGTCTCTTGCAGATAACTGAACGTCTCAGCCTATCTCAAGAAAGAGTCCAGATACCTTATGGAGAAAACTCACCTTGACTGCTTTCATCTGCCTTCTGTCCTTACAATCACTACCCACAGTTTGTGACCACAGGTGGGGTTGGTCTTTAGCCTAACAATGGATCATTAGCACCTGATGGCTGTTTACTGTTCACA